TTTTTTTTTGATTTTTAATAACAAAAAACGTCAAGTCTGACTTTTTTAATTAAAAAATTTAATTTTTTTTTGTTTTTTAATCAAGTTTTTGACATTTTTAATTAAAAAAAAAAAAATTTTTCACATTTTAATAAAAAATGATCAACATACAATTTCATGATCTGTCAAGTTAACATTCTTTTTGAGCAGCACAGTTAAACTCAGCGCAAAAAGTTTCCATAGTGAATGTTCACTTTCTCTGTACATGTACATGTACATGTTCATGTTCTTGCTCTTGTACTTGTACATGTACATGTACAGTACTGTACTAATATTTAAGATTAAACTGAGAGTTTTTTACGAAAAAGGCAATTTTTTTTGTATCCATGGCAACTATGCATGTGGATGATTTTCAAAAACGGAATAGAAAATTTTGGTGAAAATCTGACTGAAATGAAATGATCAACCAAAATTTTTGCCTTTTAAAGTAAAAAATCGCCTTAAAATCCTACTTGGGTGTTAATTTACAATTTGTTACTTTTTAACTTTAGATGGATTTTGAATCATTTTTTTAAATTATTATCATTTATTTTTATCTTGGATTATTTAAACACTAAGACTAGAATAGTTAAATGTTTTACAAAATTCTTAGTTTGTAATTTAAATAATTTTAATAAAATTATTCAAATTATTAAATTTATAAATAAGCAATACTACCGTATATTAATTTAGACGAAAATTAAGTATCCTAACGTAAATTTATGTCATAAATATTGTAAAACCACGACAGATTATTCCATTCGTTATAGATGAATTTATTAAAACAAGTTGAAAGAATAATCATCTTTAACTTCAAGAAAGTATGACAAGAAGCGACGTAAATTTTTTACAATAGCATCTTATTTAAACTTATAAATATTGATTTTACGTTAAATTATTAAGAAACTTATAAGATAGTTAATATCAAATAAAATAAATTATGATCCTTAGTTATTGATGGTATACAAAACAAGTAACGAAACATTTTTTCTATGAAAATCACAATAATCCTAATATTGATGCAAATGATAAAGAATTTTTTCAAAAACATTTAGATACCGAAAAATTATCTATAGCACTAAGATTAGAATAGTAAGATTTCATAAATTTCTTAGCTTATAATTAATTTTAAGTTATTAGTAAATATTACAGTATTGCAATAAACTTTTAATGAATTAGTATACTATTTAAATTATTCAATTTTTTAATGTTGATTTTGATTTTTTTATTATATTAAGAAAAAAATATTAATATTTCGATGATAGTACAATTTAAAGTCCCTTTATTAGCTAAAATTTAGATTCGAGTATTCAATAAAAATTTCCAATCTTATTACAAATTATAAAAATTTATTCGCGATATTAGACTTTATCTATAATAAAAGTTGATCTTAAAAATTTGTAATTAAAATTGTTTAATAATAATAATCTTACACATGGTAATAAAATTTACTAGTAAAAATTAGTTGATAGGAATATCTACAATTAACTAAGCAGTTAAAGGATTTGTGACTTTTTACGTTTTATTTTTTTAGGGATTTAGTTTAATCACGAATATTTCTTAAATAAAATAAATGATATTTATTATAAATACGTAAAAATCAATATAATATAATTTAAAAGGCCTAATACATGTAATACAACGAATATTAACTACTGGTTTTAATACGTTTTTCTACTTTAAAATATTTTGAGTTTAAAAAAATAAACAACAAGTATATTTACCACTATTTTATCATATGTTTCAAGGTTTAATTTTTCATTGTTTCACTTTTTTAATGAGGCTGAAGGATTTTGAACTGTTAAATTTTGCGATGATAAACTAAATTACAAATTAATATTAATTTAATTAGTAGTGTATCATTTAAAAAATATAATTGTAAATACCTTTCAATGTCTATATCAAGCTCGTTTTCTTTCGAAATATAATTATAATCTAAAGAAAATAACATGCATTTTAAAGATTACTGTACATAATATTTTTAATTACAATTAAATTTTTTATAGTAGTACCTTGATTATTAACAAATGAAATTGTTGATGATGAATTTGTGGATAAACATTTAGAAATTAAAGCACTTAATGGCCTACTTGTATATATGGCTTTTGGGTGATATTTTTCAGCAAATTCAGGACCAATCTTCTTTAATTTTATCAGTTTATTTCTTTTTTCTTCAGCTTGTACAAATTCTTCATTGTATTTACTTTCATAAATCCAATTACCAAGAGTTAAATAAATTTCTTTTATCGGTGGTCTTTTTTTTGGATCAGGATCCCAACAACTTTTCATTAAATTAGCATAACATTCTGGTGTATCTTCTGTAATTTTGGGTCGTTCTCCATCAAGAATTTTATAAATAAGATGAATATCATGTTTAACATTAGCAAAAGGTTTACAACCCGTCGTAAGTTCCCACATAATCATACCCAAACAATAAATATCAGCTTCTTTAGAAAATGCAGATCCTTTAAATATTTCTGGTGCAATATAAGGTATAACTCCATATATTTCATCATTTGATGATTCATTATTTACAGATTGTGATAATCCCAGATCCCCAATTTTCCATTTAAAATCTAATAATATATTTCCGCTATGGAAATCTCGATGTATAAATTCATTATTATGAATATATTCAAGCCTAAATAAAAAAAAATGTTAATAACTTAATTTAAGAATATAATGAATGCATTTAAAATATAAGTACCCTGTTAAAATTTGCTGTAAAATAAAAAGTTTTTTATTATTCCACGCAATATTTGTAAAGTTCTTTTGTAAATACTTATGTAAATCTCCCTCTGACGCATATTCCATAACTAATATATAATCACCTAATTCAGGATCCATTGTAAAGCCATAAATATCAATTATATAATTATAAATCAGCTTATTGGAACAATGTTGATTTGATTTTAACTATTAAATTTAAAAATTTTAAGTAAGGATTAAAGACTAAATAATTTAGTAAAAAATCGTTCACGAAAATATTTAAAAATATTCACCTCATTTATGAAATATTTAATATTATTTTTAGAATTTTCAAATCTTTTTAAAATGACTGTTTTTAGTGTTTTATTATAACCTAACAAGGTTGCTTTATATATAATACCATATCCCCCTTTTGTCATTTCTTTTATATTTTTAAATTGAGAATATGGTATCCACCCATATGTCTTTATATTTTCATTTTTTACAATTTGTTTTTTAATAATAGAACTAAATAGAGTTTGTGGTTCAAAATATTTATCAATTGGTTTTACAATATTTGCAATATAATCAAAATCTAAATTGTCATATATATAATTATCATTAAGATGGAAAACAACGAGATCTCTATCTACATTACTGTATATAATGAGTGATATTCTTTTACATTTTCTACATTGAGTTTGGTCTGTAAGTCCATAAATAATGTTTGTTGTTAAACAATATCTGCACCCAATATAAATTATAAGACATTTGTCACAATACTTTTGACAATCTGATGTAAATATTAATTCTGACCTACAATTTATACATAACAAACCATTGTGCCACCATGGTAAGTAAAGAATTAAAATTTTCTTTTTGACCAAGGTTGATTCTATCCATTCAAATGAAATTAGATAACAATCTGAGCATAATTTAAATTCTTTTGTAATATATTTATCTAATGACTTTCCACATAATTGACAATGTTTTCCACTTTCAATCACCTTATTGTATATGCGGAGACTATTGTTATCAAGATAATTATATTTACTTAAATATCCTTCTATTTGCTTAAATAATGGAATTATCGAACAATTTCCACAGCATTCTTGAATACTTTGTGGTACTTTTGTCTTGATTATCTCATGTTTATTACATTCCAATTCCATTGTGTAATGTACGTCCAAGCATATACCATTATAATCAGTTATATCATTAATATAATGCGATAAACATTTTTTGCAATATTTTTGAGCAAAATGTGTCTCAGTATATGTTTCTCCACAATTAAAGCAATTTTCATCACTACTATTAAAAGAAATAAATTTAATTGGTATAGGACTAGATTTTAATCTTGGTGTTGGGTCAAAAAAAATTTCATCATTTGTATTTACGAGTTCCATTTTACTATATTAATTAATCAAGTATCGATAACAATAATGAATTTGGAAAATTTGAACGTATTTTATTGATATTTATTTATATTTTTATCTATATAGTTTGAAATGATTGTTTAATTATGGAATTTTGAATTATTATGGAAAGTTCGTTTTTAAATTTAGAAATACTTTATCGAAGAGCAGATGCATAAGGATGACGCATCGGCATTATTTTTTTTACTTATTTAGTTAGTAAGATCAACTAGCGGAAATATTTTTAGGTATTAGGCGTAAATATCATTTCATCATAGAAGGTAATAATGGAAACAAAAATGTTACACAAATTAAGAAAGGAAATGAAAAAAAAAGTGAAAAGAAACAAAGAGAATTAGAACAATAATGGGTAAAAAGAATTCTAAATATGAAATAAGGTTTAAAAATTATTTTGTAAGGCCAATTGGACGTATAAAAATTTTATTCCAGAGCTTCGTCGATTCGTCATAATAAATACTATTATAAATTTGAATACTGTAAAATCTCGTAAATTATCAAATTTTTTTTTATGATTTTGCTAAAGCAAAAACATCATTTAAAGGGTAGAGTATTCCCTTAAATATATCAAAAAAAATATTCGTAATGCCAATTTTTTGTGCTGTTACTAGTATATCATTTTAATATTATTTATAGAAAGTTAAAATATTAACAAAATTCCCTGACCCGTATAAATAAATTGAATTGTATAATGTGAAACGCATGATATACTAATGGGGTCATGAATGTAATCCAGTTCCAGTTAATGAAATTTCGATCAGACTTTTTATAATACTGACGAAAAAAAGTATACTAACGAAAAAGTTTAGTTTATTTCCATTAGCAGAACGTTGATTTTTTTTTTTAAAAAAATTTTTTTGACAAGAAGCCGAAAGAATATCTATTTTTTTTTTTATTTTAAGCCATTTTTTTTTCCTTAAACAAATTTTTTTATTTTTACTTGTTTTTTATTTCTATATAGTAATATTTTTTTCTTTGTACCTTTCACCTCTTAGGTTTGGTCAATGATCGGCGGTGCTACGGCAAGCGCTAATAATATTTTTTTTCTTGGTTAATTTTTTTTACTTTCTTTTTCCTAATTTTTTTCTGTGATGTAATCGAAATAAATATTTTTTTAAAAAATATCCAGCCAAAAAAAAAATAATAAAATTAATATCAGAAATTTCATCATGATTTAAACTCATTAATCCTGCTGTAAACACGACGAACAAATTACAGCTAATAATTATGAAAGTTAGAAATAAACATTCTAATTTACTTATATTAATTAATATTTATTTATTCGGATATTTAATTTATTCAAAATATACAAACGCTAAATTTTTTTTAAAATAAGATTTATCAATTTAAATAAGTTTTTAATAAAAATTCATATTATTTAAAGCCTACTATTTATCTTCTTTTAAATTCTAAATAAGCTTTAAGAAAGATTTAAATTATACTATATTTCAGTTATTATTAAAAAAAATAATAATTCTAATGGTTGCTTGAAGACTCTTGGTATCGAAACATCTTCTGTAGTAGTAGTAAATCTTTATTAAAAGTCTATACCTACGGGACCTTGGTTTATATCATGACTTAAGACAAAAATAAAATTTCGGTTCATCTTGAAAATATTTAGTTGGAAATGTGAATATTATTAAATATTCCGTTATAATATAATTATCAATAACTTGGTCTCAGAGTTAGGGATGGGGACGGTTCGTTCGGTTCCATTTCGGTTTGCCGTCGGTTCCACGTCGGTTCCCATTAAGAAAAATATGAGCAAATTAAAGACACAAGTTGAACATATGTTGATTATACATTAAAAAAATTTTGATTGGTTAACAATCAATAGTTGTTCATGATCATCATAATTTTGATGTTGATCATATTTTGAACCGGTTCGGTTCAATTTTTAAAAGCTATTAAAAATTGTTTTGACTTATAAATTTTCTTTTTTTTTATTTATTGTAAAAATATTAGTGTTTCTCTATTCCCAATAAGATTTTTGGCTCGTATAAGTTCGAAACCCACAGGATTTTGATCGGTTCCAAAAACCGCTCGAAATTACGTAATCGAACAGACCCCATCCCTACTCAGAGTTACTTTCTTTTTATAAAGAAATTACAGTCCTGAATTTCATAAAATATCATATTTCCGCCTTCAGTTTTAATCCACCCATAAATTTTATACAAATTATATTATGATTTATGAGTAAAATTAAATCCCTTTTTAAATTTACGTTCTTTGAATTATTTAAAAATTATTTACATATTTTTAAATTTATTACAAGTTTTTATTGTTTTTATTTCTCATGTTACTAAATATACACTAAATAGCATGATTTTTGGCGTGAGAAATCATTTTATAGAATATTTATATATGGTCGAAAGGAGTTATCAAATGTATATTATACTTTTTATATTATGTATGATATTTGACTCTAAGGTTAATAAAATAATTTCTTATTTAAGTTATGAATTTTATTAACGGTTTAAACATTATTTGATTCATATTTATAAATTATATATATAAAAAGTTCCTACAGTGCGTTACCTCTATACTCAACTTTTAGAAAAATTAAAATAAAATTTAATCTAGTGATCTGATTTTATTCAAACAAAAAAAACAAATTCTATACATAAAAAGGAATCGATTTATTAAAAAAAAATTCTCAATTTTTCAAATTATGTATGCATCACATGACATTAATAAGAGCCAATCATAACTTAGTATTTGCAAATCACATTATTTAGTATTTACTGTTAAAATATAATTTAGTAATTTCATTTTAAATTGTATCAGGTACATGACGATGTGATTTATACTTTTTAACAGCAGCATATTCATCTACCTTTCCAGTAATTCCATTTCTATAAATATCCATATATTTCCATGATTTATTCGTAACTTAACTCTTACCTCCGCAGCTTTAGCAATTTTCTTTTTTCATAGCATATTTTAAAAAAATAAAAAAAATGATTTTTTTTACACAAAAATGATTATAATCTACGTAATACATCATGTTACGTTAATTTAAAATTTTTTACACAAAAATTGTAGTCTCAAGTTTAGACGTTATAATTAAATTATCATGCTAAGGCTCGACCATTATTATTTTTTGATAAACTAAACAATAATTCTTAAAGCTTAAGCTATAAACTTTTAAAATTATTGGTTAATTTTTTTAAATATTTAATAAAAATTTTTTTTTTAAGAATTTGAAGTTGACTAATTATTACTATAGGCTACTGATCGAGTATAGAGGTAATGCACTGTATTACTTGTACATTCAGCTAATGATAATTATAATTCTTTCTTTATCCTAATACTTTACTGTATGTAACTTTACTACTAACAACAAACATCATTTTTTCAACGTAAAAGCAAAACTAAATTCAGCGCAATAAAAGTCTATTTGTTAGTCTAATACATTACAATAATAGTCTATCTAAGTATAGTTATCGTTATTGTTACAGTCCCCAGCGAAATAATGGTGGGGGAAATGTCACCTATTGTTTTGAATATAGGATTAGTATTTTCCTATCTGGATGAGTTATTTTGAAATTTTATTATTATTTCTATGCTCAAATTTGTCTTTTGAAGTATTAAATTTAATAAAAATGTTACTTAAGTATAATGGATAATTTTCTCAAAAAAATTTATGGGCAAAATATTTACTTAATTTTGACCATTTTATATTACGTTAGCATTTTTTTTAATAATTTTTCGCTTGGGAAATGTGATCAACAATTTTTATATTCGAGATGGAATTCTGCATAAAATTATGAAACTAATCTTTGGCTTTCATTTTTTTGTTACCTAAAAACCAGATCAACGTAAAAGTATCATTGCAAGATTACTTGTGACAGTACAATATAACTGGTAGTATTTTGGACTAATATACTGTCTGAAAATAGTTAGCTTTTATGTACAAAAATTTGATTTTAATTTTATTTTTCTGTAAAAACATTTAAAATAATTTTTATTATTTAAGAAATTATTAATAAACAACAATAAAATTACAGTACAAATATACTCTAATAAAAACAGAATTATCTACAACACAAAAAAAGGAATAAATTTAAATAAAAAACAATTCAATTTTGGACTATAAAGCTCGACTGGAATTTGTATGTAATCTGTGTACAGTCAAACCCGATATCCTACTGTATGCACCGACAATTGCATTTACCAACAAATTATTCATGTCCCATTTCACAATTAATAAAACTAGGAAAACGGAAACCGTTGAGGGTCCGTCGCTTAATACGTTTACATATATATATAAATAATTACAAAAATGTGTCAAAGTGTTAAAAAATGTGTTGCTAAAAATAAAGCGTTACAAAAAATGTGATACAAAACATAAAAGGAAATAAGCAGGGGCTAAATTATAGTGACGTAGATGGAAGGAAGGAAAAATACATGGGTTAAACCGGTACTAAAAATTTATCTAGTTCCGTACAATAAATAGTCCTGACGGACAAACTCTCCATTGATGAGGGTGATGGAGTCCAACGGACAACTCTAATGGCGGTCATCCAAATAGCTGAATATTTACTGAAAATGGTTTTGGAGATTGTTGGTGATGAAAAGGAGCGGGTAATTTTAAAGTTTTAAGAATTTTATACAACCTTATATATGAGGAAATTTGATGAATATTTTTAATATTCTTGGAATTTGAACTGTAAGTTTTCATTTCATTAGATGTAGAAAAAAAAAATTTCAATAAGACCTCGAATCAGATCAAATTTCCTTCTGATGAGGCTGAATCCGAAGTCGACCAGGATAAAGTAATGATACTACAGGGTAGAGCCTTGATGGTAAATTATTCCATGACGGTACTTCCCGATATTTTATGCCGTTGATCGTAAAAGCGCAAGTACTTTTATACATATTTAAGTGAACCGTAATTTTTGTACCATCTTTGAGTGATGGACAATAATTATTTGTCCAGACTCCGGAATTACAGCATGAACCACATGAACCTACTACCCATCCAGTAGGTTGACTTCCTGCAAATCCTTCATAATTAAAATTCTCTGATGAACATACTCCAATGTATATAAACCTACAATTTTTTTCGACAATTACATCCCATTCAAAAATACGTTTATTCTCTAATAACATGTTAATTCTTGCACTTTGATGTTTTACACAATTAGCCGATGCTTGAACAACTTTTCCACCATCTTCAATAGTAAGTTTTGAACTGCATACAGATTCATCAAAAACAAGGTCAGAATCATTAAGCCTATATATTGGTATTCCTCGAATATCATTTGAATCTGAATTAATTGATAATGTATTGTGTCGATAAACGTCTAAAATAACTTCATTTGGAGTAATTTCTAACGGTTCAATGATATTAACTAATATTCGACCTTCGATTCGCTTAAAATTAATAAATTCAACTAAATGCTCCAATTCACTAGCAACTTTTTGATTATCGGCAATAAGCTTTTTTTCCACTTGTAATGAGTTTAAGTGGCTTAATTGTTCCATTTGTTCTGATTGCTCTAAGGTTGGTAACTGTTTCATAATAGTGTGATACGCATCATTGGAAACTTGTTTTGCTGCAAGTATTGCACTATATCGAAAAACTTCATATTCTGGTGTTACAAAAGGAATTTCTTTATCATGTGTATAGGATAAAAGACACTTAAGACCTTCAATAGATAATCGATCAAATTCGATAGTATTTAATGGAATAGCCGATATCGCTTTTATTAGTAAATCTAGAAAAATATTATCTTCTGTTAATGACATTGTTTTTACAACTTTAGACAATAATTCTGGTAAACAACTATTTGCGTAATTCTCTTTTAAATTATTTATGAAAATATTTTCAACAGATTTCCGAAGGTCTAATAAATGAAAATAATCTGCAGCATTAAAAGTTTCAATTATATTATCTTTTGTTAAGGTTTCTTCTTTAATTGATCCTGTATAAAGGTATTCCAATATAATTTCCATAGAAGAAGAATTAATTTCTGGAAAAGAAATTTTTGTTTCAATGCTTTCTTTCATCCCATTATAAAGCAATTTGTTAAACATTTCAGATCTCGCAGCCAAAATTGCTCTGCAACCATACAATATCTTTTCATCCTCACATGAAATTTCTATATCACTATACATTTTATTATTTATTAATAATCTTAAATCTTCTTTTAATGAATCTCCTCTCGTCATTTTTTAAAGTTAAATATATATTATATATATTTTTAAGAAAAACATTATTTTGAAAGGGATATTTATATATAAAGGTTTGGGTACAAAATTTAAAAAGTTAGACTTGCCAATTTTAGTAATTAGACAAAGTAAACTGCGGTTAATAAGTAAGTAGTATTAAATATTACGTAAAATTTTCATTAATTCATTCATGTATAAATGAGAATAATCGAACTAAAAATAGAATTTTGCTTTCATGAATTAGCCCATCAAAATATTTATGTCATATTTACATTCTAAATCATTTAGCTAAATGAGCTGATCAAAATATTTCACCAACGTAAATCATCGGCACGGGATCAAAATTTGCAGATCATTTCCAAAATAGATGATAATCCGGTTAACGAGAAAATTTATAAAATAAGTAATAGTTATTGGGTAGGGGGGTTGAAATATCACCGAACTGCGAAGCAGTTCGAATGATATTTTAACCACCATACCTAATAACTGTGTTATTATGCAGACGTCCAAGATCATGTTCCATATGAAAGGCATAGTAAATATGTGATAATTAATCTATATAACGTAATGCGATAAAAATATCAAAGATATTTACGCAATAATAATTTATCTAAAAAATATTAGAATGTTAAAACAACATGATCCTATTTGGCTGCATAATAAAACTTAGATAAAGACACCAAAAATTGAATCCTATATACATTTTTACTTTTTCCGCAAGTTTACTTAGGGAGTAAACATTAAGTTTGAATGCCAATTTTTGCTAAGATTAACTTTTACAAGGTATACAACCCTAATCAACTTGTAGAAAAAGTATTTATTTCTATAACAACCCTAATCAAACTTGTAGAGAAAGTATTTATTCTTATAATTTTAAGTTTTATTGATTTTTACGCTGGGAACGTGGTTCAGTCGATAAAGTAAGAAAGAAAAATAACAATAAAGCTAATATCATTTTTACTAAAAAAATTTTTTAATTCCCAAATTCTATAGCTAAAAATAATGACAGAAATTTTATTCTATTTTTGATGAGGCTGAATTCGAAATCGACCAGGGTATTTTAATGTTACTACTGGATAAAGCTTTGATGGTAAATTATTCCAACTTGATATCGCTGGATATTTTGTACCATTGATCGTAAAAGCACAAGTTCTTTTATTCATGTCCAGATGAACTGTAATTTTTGAGCCATCACCAAATGATGGATAATTATTGTATATTCTATTACTTGCATGACTATAACTACCATCGGAACCTAATACCCATCCAGTAGATTGATATCCTGCAAAGGTTTCATAATTAAAATTTTCTAACGAACATACTCCAACCCAAGCATATACACAATTTTTCTCAATAATAACATCCCATTCGAAGATACCTTTATTTTCAAATGCCACTTTAGCTCTAACACTTTGGAGGTCAAACCAATTATTTTGTGCATATACAACTTTTCCGTTATCCTCAATAATAAGTCTTGAACCACATGCTGTCTCATCCCAAACATAATTGGAATAATTTGGTATAGGTACCCCTCGAATATTATTTATATTGGAAATGTTTGATCTTACTCTTTGCCGATAAACATCTAAAATTATTTTTGTTGAGATAATTTCTAGCGGGTCAATGATATCGGTCAAAATTTGACCTTCAATTCTTTTAAAATCAATGAAACTAACTAGAGGCTCCAATTCTTTAGCAACTTTTTGATGATCGGTAACAAGTTTATTTTCATTTTCTACTTGCATTGGGTTTTCTATTAGTTTAATTTGTTCCAAGGTTGGTAACTGTTTCATTAAAGCTTTATATGCACAATTAGAAACTTGTTTTGCAGCAAGAATAGCACTATACCGAAAAACTTCATATTCTGGAGTTACAAAAGGAGCATCTTTTTCATGTGTACAAGATAAAAGATATTTAAGACCTGCAATAGACAATCGATCAAATCCAATTGTATTTAATGGAATAGTTGCTACTGCTTCAACTAGTAGATTTAGTAAACTATTATCTTCTGTTAATGGTATTTTTTCTGCGAATTTAGAAAGTAATTCTGGGGAACAATTTTCATTTTTATTTTTTTCTAATGTATTTTCGAAAATTTTCGTAATAAAATCCTGAAGGTCTGGTAATTGAAAATAGTCGGCAGCGTAAAATGCTTCAACTATATTATCTTTTGTTAAAGATTCCTTTTCAACTGATCCCGTATAAGTATATTCTAATATAATCTCCATTCCGGCAGAGTTAATCTTTGGAAAAGAAATTTTATTTTCATGACTTTCTTTCATTCCATTATAAAGTAATCTGTCAAATACTTCAGATCTTGCTGCTAAAATAGCTCTACAACCATGTAATTTCTTTTCATCCTCACATAAAATTTCTATATCGCTGTATTTAGGATTATTTATTAGTAATCTTAAATCTTTTTCTAATGAATACCCTCTCGTCATTTTTTGAAAAAAAAAAAATTTTTTTTTTTTTTGAAAATATGATTTAGGATTTTAAATACTTTTGCTCGCAAATTTGTATTATGTTGCAAATTTAATTACGTCTATGACGTACAGTTACTTCAACGTCATTAAGACGTAATAGCCGCACATTATTAAATGACAATTTGGTAATCAAATGCGCCTGATCTATTCCATATTTATTATAGTTAAAACAATCTAGTATTTATTATTTATTATTATATTTGGTTAGATTGAAGCTTTGAAGGTTGACCCGTCGAGTTGGTATCGGTCATATGACTTGCCAAGTTTTTTTTAAAAAAGATTATTTTTTATTTTTTTTATTTTATTTTTCTTACTGGTTTTCTTTATAACAAAAAACTTATTTGAACAATTATATTTTTTTTGTATAAATTTACAATGAACATTTTAATAATTTACAATGGACATTTTAATAAATTTTCGAAGAATTGACAATAAAATTTTAATAAAAAAATTCCTTTTTCTATGTATCAATTTTTTCTCAATAATATATTAACCTTAAGCATAAACTTAAAGCAGGCTTTACTCTTATAAATTACGTAATTTATTTAATTAATATACTGTAATTATTAAAGCTTATATAAAATTAAATAAAAAATATTATATTGCTTTCAGTGGTGAAATAAATTCTCGTTTGTGAATTGTGACGGACGCTATTTTAGGCTTATGGGATATGACCATAAATTTTTAATAAATAACGATTTGTAAAAATTAATTTATTAACTTCGTCTGACGTGATGCTTGATCACATGAATAGTGATTTTTATGGTTAAGTGACATCATGTCGGATATGTGAAAGCTTATGGTAAAGTAATCATCGACGGATAACCAAAAAAGCTAGGACAAAAATGGAATAGCTATGACTATATCTTAGGATGACAAATAACTAAAGAATAAAAGTTTGATTTATTTGATGAAAGTCCGATTGAACGAAAAAAAATTCTCGGGAGAGTTGCGATTCAAGAATAATTTATAAAATTTTCTGGCGTAAGCTTTTAATTTATAATTGATTTTCTTTGACGTTTTATTTTATAAATGAGTAAAGTATTAATATAATTACGGTTGGCAAAAATTAGGAAAATATTAAAGTGGATTAAGTTTCAATATACAGTATGTATTACAATATATCCGAATTTGATGATAGATTAAAATAAGTAAAAACAAAAAAATTAATTAGAGATCATACAAACCTTAAAACTTAGTTACGAATAATCATTCTTGCTGCGGCAATTATGATCAACTGCGACTAAGCCAAAAAGTAGTAAATAAAATCGTGCGTTTCGTTTAAATTTTTGTAACAATTATGCAAAACTGGAATACCGATTGTTTTTGTATCACTCCATACAGACTTTCTAATGGATATAGGGAATTTGTATTTGGGCATTTTTTTATTTATTTATTTTTTTTTTTTAATAAAAAGCAAGGAACAATGTTTAAATAATAATAATAGCATTATATATTTGTTTTTATGATGAGTTATTCCTTATTCGACATATTACTTTTTTACGACTAACGGAATTACAATTCCGATTATTCTGATGATTCCGATAATTTATATTACCGACATAGATTAAACAATTTTCTCCTTTTCCTCTCGTCATTTGCAATATGACATGATTTCAGGAGATTTACCTGAATTATTAGATGAAATTATGAGATATATCCGGATAGAAACCGAAATCCGGATAGAATTAATATTAATTTTTTTTATAAATTGGAAAATTCATGGCATATATTAAATTAAATTCATGATATAAGTTTTAGTTAAGTTACTATTAAGTTCCATAAATTAAATTGTAAATCAATTACGGTTAGAAACTCTAATTTTCGTCAGCACTATGAATTTTGCCCAAATTATGCTGTAGGTTTGAATTTTTCGAAAAAATGTGAACTTTTTTTTTGTCCGTGATCAAGAAGATTGTTGCACAAAATGGCTTTATTATCAATAAGTTAAAATCATAAACCGAATTTTAGAATTGAAACTTAAATCACGATTGATTGACCCGAGAATCAATTCTCATTTTGGGAATTGATTTCAATCCTTCACTGAATAAAAATTTAAAAAGAAAATTAATCTTAACATTTAAAAAAAAAAATTTATTTATTTTTTTTATTTTCCGGATTTCGGGTCAAAACCGGATATTTTTTAACCGGATATTTATCCGGATAAAAACCGCGATTATCTGGATATCAAAATTATTCGGGTTCGACCGGATGGGCCCGGATACGGATCGAATCACTAGGCCGGAATTAACGGAATTATTTTTTAAAAAAAGGAATGATCCACATATTATTTTTGGCTCATTTGTTGTCTTTTTATGGAATAATAAATAAATTGTACAACTCCGAAAATTGATAAATTTAAATGAAAGCAAACTCTTTTGACTTTTTCCCCCTTTACAAACATGGCATGCTCAAAAATATTTTCAGGAGATTTAGCTGAATTAACAGAAGAAATTATACAGTATTTTAGAAAAGATTTTTTAACATTGTATTCATGTATTTTAGTTAATAGATTATGGTGTCGTTTAGCCATTCCATTATTATGGGAAGATCCATTTTCAAAGAATTATCCCAAAAATTACCACTTCATTGAAATTTACTTAAATAAATTAAATGAAGATGACAAAGCAAAATTTAATGAATATGGAATTGAATATGATTTATTACATTCAAACACATTATTCAATTATCTTAATTTTATTAAATACTTAGATACATATAGAACTTATCGTTCTATTAATTATTGGATTGATTCCTTAGTGGTTAAATATGATAATAAGCTAAGGTATAAGCTAGAAAACTTAGTTTATAGGTCTTTATTTGAAGTGTTCATTAAAAATGAGGTGAATATACATTCTTTTGGAATTAATCATTATACTTTTGGATTTTCTGATGATAATATGGACTTGGTTTTACAAAATCCAAATCTTACATACAATATGAGAAATTTAATATTAATTGTTAATGCTATTTCATCTCGAAATATTTTTCCATTTTTAAAATTTTTATGTTCCAATTGCAATTCAATCTCATCTATTGTTGTTAATTTTCCTGCTTGTAGTAGTTCATTAATTGAAACACATTTATCACAAATAATTATTTCACAGCATAATCTCAAAAAAATTTCATTTGAATCTAATTTTATTTTATATAATCCATTTTTATCATTAAAAAATTCTAATTGTTCAAATACTTTAAATACGATTATATTTTATTACACTGATTTTAAAAATATACTTACTGTTTTACAAGAGGTCTTTAATCAATTGAATGTTTTAGAATCTGTTCATATTTTTTATTGTTGTTCTTTAAATTCTGATTTTGTTCAACAAATTATTAAGGTTATTAAACCGTTTAAATTGAGATCTTTGTTTATGAGTGAAATATTACATGTTGAATCATTACAATTACTGTTACAAAAATTTAGTGATTGTTTAGAAAATTTTGGATTTCATTACGGATATAGAGAGCATAATGAATATGATGAAAAACAACGACAGTCATTTAAATTAATTATGAAATATTGTACAAAGATTAGATATTTTAATCTGGGTATATCTGATGATAATAATATTTATCCATTCATTGAAAATAATCGATATAATATTAATTACCTTACTATTGAAGTAGATTTTCACGATGATTATACTGGTTTAAGTTCAACTGTATTACAAAATTTAGGACAGGTTCTTCCTTCTAAATTAAAATATTTATGTTTATCACTTGCTTTTAAGACAAATGATCTGGAAATATTTTTAAAAAATTCACAAAATACTTATATTTAGAAATTATTAATTAAGAGTAAAGTTGAATATACTAGGTTTGAAGATTTTACAATTTATATAAAGAAATATATTATGAAGGAGGAAAGGGTTAAATATTTGGCTGTTTTAAAATCATATTCTAAGAATAATGATTTATTTATGGATGAATTTGGATTTTTTTCAAAAGACGAAGTAAATGAATTTAAATTATATAATATTATTGTTCAAAAATTCTTTGATTTATATATTAGTACATATGATTTTATAAGTAATCATTTATAATTTTAATAAATAAAGACCTGCGTATTTTATTTTAAAAAATAGATGTTGTATTTCAATTTATTAATGTGAATATTGATTACTTAATTACTAAAAGAACAGCGCTCCGTGTAATGTTTGATTATGAAAAAGCAAGCTTTACATTTAAACCACTAAAATTATCTAATATAAAAATCGTCATCAAAATATATTGAATGTATGATAACTTCCTTTAAGTGTGTCAATGAGAATAGAAGTAATCTAAGGTGACACGTAATGTTTGGAAATTTTAGATCTAGCTATAAGTATTGAATTGATACATTCTACTTTAGGTTAAATAATTGATAATCTTAAAACTTGAATTCATTATTAAGAAAATAAAAATAAATTTTAATACATATTTAATATTTTTATAATATATATAATTAATAAAATTATTTAATTTTGTATTTTATTTTTAAGTAAATTTCTTCAATAAAGCGATAGTTTTTAAAAAGATTCTTTTAACTAAAATATTACATGAGGGTAAAGTTGCTAAAAATACTGTATAATTTCACTTTTAATTCAGGTAGATCTCCTGAAAAAATTTTTGAACATGCCATATTATAAAAGAGAAAAAGAGAGGAAGGAGGGAAGTACTAGGGAAGTTTACATTTTAAAATTTTTCAATATTTAGTTGGATCACATGATCCACGCGAGATTGACGTTATATGTTACTATTTTGCATCATTTTTTTTTTGTTTTAACGGATGCGGAGCTTTGGACAAACTATATAAATTTTATTGACGAAGATGTTCTAAATGTGCTCGAAATTTGTGTTCTTCTTATACATACAGTAGTACATCCTTTTGTGTAGTCCAACTTGATTAAAGACTCATAATAATGTTACCACCGATTTGTGCAGTTCGGAAGTGTTGTAACAGAAATATATGCAGGCTAATTTATAGAATACGGCTAACAATAGACAACAATCGGCAATAAATCATAAAGAAATTGAGAGGGTTCGTCAATAATTGGCAATAAAACTATAAACAGTGTATTTTTATCGAATGTATAACAATCGGAAATAAATTGACAATAAAAACAATAACGAAATGTATAAAAATTGGAGTGATCGGTTATTAACAAATACAAAAGAATTTCACAATATTACTGCCTCTGTAATATTCCCAAGATTCTATCTAAGTGTTAATAACCGAAAATCACTGCCCTTAAAACCTCAGCGGAAATTCTTCCCTTAAATATTGTTCGAAAATTGGGACGATTAGTTCTTTGGCCAACTCACCCTTCGTCCGAATCGTCCAAAATACGACTCATCTTCCGGCTAAATCGTCCATCGTACGAGTCGCCTATCACAGCCATAATTGGTTCCCACTAAGCCATAAGCCACATCATATAAATAACTGAAACTATATAAATAAACTATACTATATAAAATATATATATATTAAACTATAAAATAAATAAAATAAACTATATATAAAAAAATTCCCATGTCTAAAATTCCCGTGACAATAACGTCGATCATCGATCAGCCATAGAAATGTGGCGCATGAATAACTAATTTTTTTCTAATTTCTGCACAAAATACTTTTGTACAAGAAAATAGGAAATTTTTGATAAAAAAAAATCTTTATGCATATTTGAACATATTCCAGGCATATGAAAATTCTAATCAGAATGCTCATTACTTAAGGACAAAAAATGCTTAATTTCCAGCAATATTATCTGGACATTTATTTATTATAGGGTTACACCCATTTTAAATTCAATTTTCAAAAATAAAATCGGTTCCTAAGTCTAATGCTTATTATTAAAATTGTTTATAGTAAAAATCGTCTACTCAATCAAATGATCTTTGAATAAAAATTCGATCACATGAGATCAGCATGCCGGAATATCCAAAATGGAATGAATTTACACATTAATGGTTCTATTGTTGCCTTTTTATAGGGTAGTACAACAAACCTAACTAAAATTGATAAATTTATTCCGTTTTAAAAATGAAAGTTACTCCTTTTCCTTCACAAACATGGTATGCTCAAAAATATTTTCAGGGGATTTACCCGAATTAACAAATGAAATTATACAACATTTCAGAAATGATTTTTCAACATTATATTCGTGTATTTTAGTTAATAGATTATGGTGTCGTTTAGCGGTTCCATTATTATGGGAAGATCCATTTTCAAAGCATGATCCCAAAAATTGCCACTTCATTGAAATTTACTTAAGTAAATCAAATGAAGATGATAAAGCAAAATTTAATGAATATGGAATTAAATATGATTTATTACGTTCAAATAATACATTGTTCAATTATCCTAGTTTCATTAAATACTTAAATTATGAGGGTACTTATCGTTCTGTTAAAGAGTGGATTGATATTTTAGTGGATGATGATGATCTTAATGAAGTAGGAGAATTAATTTGTAAGTCGTTACTTGAAATTTTCATTAAAAATGAAGGAATATTACATTCTTTTGAATATGCAATATCTACTTTGGATAGCTATTGTGATGATACTATGGAATTGATTTTACAAAATCCAAATTTCACTTACAATATCAAAGATTTAACATTATTGCTTTATGATATGTCATTTAAAATTACTATAAATATCATTCCTTTTTTAAAATTTTTTTCTTCTAATTGCAATTCAATCTCATCAATTAATTTTTGTTATTTACCCAGCACCGATAATATTAATGATTTATCATTAATTGAAAATTGTATATCACAAATAATTATTTCACAGCATAATCTCAAAACAATTTCATTTGAATTTAATGCTAATTATAATTCATTTTTATCATTAAAAAATTCTAATTGTTCAAATACTTTAATTGCTAATTCGGTTAAGATCGGCAGTGTCTTACTATGTAAAATCGGGGCAAAAAAAGAAAATAATTATCTCTTGATCCAATGATCCAATTTCAATGAACTTTTTTTTGTTTTATAGATCTTGATTTTCTCAATAAAATAAAAAATTTATTGAAATTGAAATACTAAATTATAAGAAAATCGTGAAAAAGTATTTTATATTATTATTATGACTAAATTTTAGTAAATCATAAAAAAAGAATTGATTCCTAATTCAGTGATCCAATTTCAATAATTTTTTTTTGTCTTTTAGGTCTTAACCTCTTCTGCACAATAAAAAAAAGTTTATATATTTAATACCTGTCTCTTATACACATCTAGATGTGTATAAGAGACAGATCTAGAGGCCCAATTTTGACAAAAATTTTTTATTATGTAGAGATTATTGAGATCTAAATAACAAAAAAAAGTTTATCGAAATTGGATCACTGAATCAGGAGATAATTGTCTGCTTTGTTATTAATGGAATCTGATCGTTGTCAGTAAAATATGTTTTTGTGATTATCTCACAACCTAATGGTCCAATTTCAATGAAATTATTTTTATTTTATAAAGGTAATCCAGACTTACAGAACAAAAAAAAGTTCATCAAAATTGGATTATTAGATCATATGATAATTATTTTTATTATTTGCACCAATTTCCCCAATTTTACATAGTAGGACACTGCTGATCTTAACCGAATTAGCAATTAAGTACAATTATATTTCATTACATTGATTTTAAGAATATACTTACTGTCTTACAAGAGGTCTTTAATCAATTGAATGTTTTAGAATCTGCTCATATTTTTTATTGTCGTTCTTTAAATTCTGATTTTGTTCAACAAATTATTAAGGTTATTAAACCTTTTAAATTGAGATCTCTGTTGATGAATGAAATATTACATGTAGAATCATTACAACTACTATTACAAAAATGTGGTGATTATTTAGAAAATTTTGAATATGGATATATGGGTGAAGCATATGAAGAATTAAGACCACTATTACTTGAATTTATTATAAATTATTGTACAAAAATCAAACGTTTTATTTCAGATAAGCCTGATAATTTTAATTTTTATCTGTTAATTGAAAATATTGGACGAACCCTTAATTATATTTCTATTGATTTGTTCGATCAAGATTTAAGTCAAGCCATATTACAAAATTTAGGACGAGTTCTTCCTTCTAAATTAGAATATTTACATTTAGGACTTTTATTTAGTACAGATGATTTTAAAATGTTTTTAATAGATTTTCAAAATACTTTTGTTAAGAAATTTCTGATTAGTGATACGACGCAAGATTTATACCATGAAAGTATCTTATTTTATACAAAGGAATATATAATGAAGAAGAAAAGGGTTAAATATTTGGCCATTAAAGGAAGTTGTGAATTGGTTGATTTGATAAATGAAGTAAAGGAATTTAGATTATATGATATTATTGTTAAAAAATATCTTGATTTATATATTAATTATTTACAATTTACTAAATAAAATAACATTGTTTGATCACTTTGATGTTACCCAATCTAATAATGTATATTTAAAAGTGGCTCAATTCTGACAAGTATTTGAGGACAGTGTCCAGAACGAAATCTGCATTATCTGATAGTTAATATTTAATGCTTTCGTTTAATTAACACTTATTTTAAAGCTTGCTAGTTGCTAGCTGTACCAAATGAATAACTAACAAATATAAGTTTATTTGAGGTTTATATTATAGATTACAGAAGCTTGTTACAATAATAATAGATTTTTTTTTAAAAGATTAAATCAAATTTAATATTTTAAAGTAGTAAGTAACAATTCCATAGCCCTTAAACTGCAATTAAACAATTAGGATAAAATTTGCTACACTTACAGTATAGTTGATGTATAAAAATATAAAAGCTGCTAAATTAATTCTTTTTCATATTTCATTAATTTCTTTCCTTCAACTAGTGATCTCTTTCCTTGTTGTTGTTGAGTTTTTTCAGGGTGGAGCATAGTGCACCTCTTTGGAAGTCCTTATTGGTAGGACCATAGTATTGAGAAACTAAGATAAGTTTTACCTTTTTTAGAAATTTCTTTTCTAAAAAAAAATGAGCCTTTATTTTATTTTCTAAACTAATTTATTTTATTAAGTATATATATACTAAATTTTACAGATAAAATACTATATCATGTAACTAAATGGCTTATTGGATTTATTTATATGAAGCATGTCTGCATAATAAAATAGTTATTGAATAGTTGTTAAAATATCATCCAAACTGCTTGGCGATATTCTATTTTTAATATAATTTTATAGATTCAATATTATCTTTTTTGTTTCTATTCCATATTTGTAATAATGTACAAGACTATGTCATTAACATTAACCACTGCTTCTTATAAGCTAAGAACCTTTATAGTTTAATATTAATTTATTCCGTACCTAGCAGCCAGGGACCAGGATAACGCCTAATACATATTATCTTCTTTGCTAACAACTTAACATGGTTTGTATATAATGCATTGTATAAAAAAAAAAGGAGAAAATAAAAATTTAGTAATCATTTTAAGACGGAAATAAAAAATTTAAATAAATAATATACTCACCAAAATCAAATCCCACATCCAAAGAACCAAAGGAATGCCTAAAAAAAATAACAAACAATTAGAAACTATTCATTAAAATAAAAAATAAATTCAAGAAAAAAAGGGAGTATCTTACCGAAATTTTGCATTAAAAGAAACTGAAAGAACCACCTAAGAAAAAAAAGAACTGAAATATTAAAAATGTTCCGTTGAAAGAGTTAATTTAAAATAAAAGAAAACACCACTCACTGAATCTACGTTTAAGAGATCCGGTGAACCACCTAAAAAAACTGTTAGTAACAGTTCGTTAAAAAGCGCAATAAAGAAAAAAAAATGAATCTTATATTGCCAAAAATCCCAATATCCAAAGAACCATCTAAAAAAAAAGAAAGAAAATGAAAGTTAGTAACTGTTTGTTAAACTAATAATAAAATGAATTAAAAAAAAAACACTTACCAAATTCCTATATCCATATAAGAGACTAGAAAACTCAAATTAAGAATAAAACAACAACTTAAGCCGCTTGTCCAAAGAATTGCCTAAAAAATAATAAAAACAATAAAAAACAAAATCGTTAGTATAACGTTTTGCTAAAGAAATAAATTGAAAAAAAAATATTTTTTTCGGAAGCCCTTACCGAGATAAGGGACCTGGTCGTCTAAAAAAAGAAAAAATTGTAAAACGTTTCACTAAAGAAATAAATTAAAAAAAGTATATTTTTTTTGGAACTCCTACCAAAATAATATGTGCTCAAAGATTGGCTGTCTAAAAAAGAGGAAATCAAAATGTCAGTAAAACGTTTTGTTACTGTAAATTAAAAAGAACAAGAAACTCACTCACAGAATTCAACATGTCAAAAGCTCTGAACGCCATCCCACATATCCAAAGAATTGAAAAGTCACCTAAAAAAAAGGAAAAAGAACTGTTAGTAAAATTTGTTGAAAAAAAATTTCATTTCACTTACCGAAATCCTGTCTTCAAAGCAACCTTCCTGGTAATCTAAAAAATAAGAAAACAAACCATAAGAAATGTTTCGTTAAAGAATTAATTTGAAAAAAATGTAGTTCACCAAAATTCGAAATATGAAATCAAAGTGTTCAGCCCGTCTAAATAAAAAAGATAAAATTTGATACGTTAACATATATTTAGTTAGAATAGATAAATTAAAATAGTAAAAAACTTACCAAAAACAAAATCTCATGTGTCCAAAGAGACCCAAAGAACCGCCTAAAAAACTAAAATGACCTGTTAGTAGTTGTTCATTAAAATATTAATGAAAAATAAATTAAAAACTTACAAAATATCGCGTCCAGAAGACTGAAGGAGCTACCTAAAAAGGAAAAATAGAAACGTATAAACATTTTGTTTTTTTTTTGTGGGTGATTTCAACACTTTTTTAAATAAAATACGGAAAAGAAAGGATGGAAAGGGAAAAGGAAATGAAGGAAGGGGAGAAGGAACGAAAGGAAAATGAAGGAAAAGGAAATGGGTGAAAAAATGAAGGAAAAGGGGAAATAGCGAGTAAAAAAGTTTAGATCAAACTGTAGTAGGGCTTTCCCCGATATGTGAGATAAATTTTTTTTTATTATTTATTACTAATAATATTGATCTGAATCTATTGGAATCCTCAAGATCTCGTGGACGTGGTCACATGGACGCTGACGCGAATGTGGTTGTGAAAGCTAAGGTCATTGTGGATTTGGGCAAAAGTGGCGCTGTCAGATTTGGCGGTTTGGTTCACGATTTAATTGATTTAATTTAGAATTACTTTAGGCTAACGTATAGTTCGTTCTGTAATTTGTATCGTGACTTGTTCACATGGAATTTAAAAATAAAAATAAAATAGTGGAGGATTTGGACAAAAGTAAAAAACTCTATTACATTCAATTTAATTATATATTTGCGAAAATATTTAGTAAATAGTAATCCCACAAGTTTATTTTTTATTAATTAATTGCAAATTTTATTGTACATTATATATGTATAAATTAGATATTTTGTAAACCCAAATATTCATAATAATATGTATTTTACAAGTGTTTGCAAATATTGTTGGAAATATTGTACTATATTTATTAAATTTAAAAATACCTTGTACAAAGCTTGTACAAGGATCGCACAATTCATTATGAAAATTTAGCGTTGTTAGCAAAGTTTCATTCAATATCAATTTTTATCAGTTTCTATTCTATAATAACAGCATTTTCTTTGCATCAATATGTCCTTTCTCAGCTGCTTCTTTATATAATTCAAATGCTTTGATTTTATTTCTTTCTGTTCCTATTCCATTTTGATAACAAAATCCAAGATCATATATTGCATCAATCTGACCTTTCTCAGCTGCTGCTTTATACGAATTAAATGCTCTAATTTCATTTTTTTCTGTTCCTATCCCATTTTTATAACAATATCCAAGACCATGGATTGCATTGATTTGACCTTTTTCAGCTGCTGCTTTACATAATTCAAATGCTTTAGTTTCATCTATTTCAATTCCTATTCCTTTTTTGTAACAACATCCAAGATCATATATTGCATCAATCTGACCTTTTTCAGCTGCTTTTTCATATAATTTAAATGCTTTAATTTCATTTTTTTTGGTCCCTATTCCATATTCATAACAATATCCAAGGTCACGTATTGCATTAATATGACATTTATCGGCTGCTTTTTTACATAATTCAAATGCTTTAATTTCATTTTTTTCAGTTCCTATTCCTTTTTGATAACAACATACAAGATCATACATTGCATTAATCTGACCTTTTTCAGCTGCTTTATTATATAATTCAAATGCTTTATTATCATTTTTTTTGATTCCTATTCCATTTTGATAACAATATCCAAGATCACGTATTGCATTAATCTGACCTTTTTGAGCTGCTTCTTCATATAATTTAAATGCCTTAATTTCATTCTTTTTTGTTCCTATTCCATTTTGATAACAACAACCAAAATCATATATTGCATTAATCTGACCTTTTTCAGCTGCTGCTTTAAATGAATTAAATGCTTTAATTTCATTTTTTTCTGTTCCTATTCCATTTTGATAACAATAGCCAAGATCATATATTGCATCAATCTGGCCTTTTTCAGCTGCGTCCTTATAAAGTTCAAATGCTTTAGTTTCATTTTTTTCAGTTCCTATTCCATGTTTGTAATAATATCCAAGCCTATATGTTGCTCTAATTTGACCTTTTTTAGCTGCTTTTTTATATAAATCAAATGCTTTGCTTTTATTTTTATCAGTTCCTATTCCATAATCATAACAATATCCATGACTATATATTGCATCAATTTGACCTTTTTCAGCTGCTGCTTTATATAATTCAAATGCCTTAATTACATTTTTTTCAGTTCCTATTCCATGTTGATAACAATATCCAAGATCGTATATTGCATTAATCTGGCCTTTTTTAGCTGCGTTCTGATATAATTCAAGTGCTTCAATTTCATTCTTTTCAGTTCCTATTCCATGTTGATAACAATATCCAAGATCATGTATTGCGTTAATATTATTTTTCTCAACTGCTCTTTTATATAATTTAAATGCCATTGTTTCATTTTTTTCAGTTCCTATTCCATAATAATAACATTCCCCATAATTATATATTGCATCAATCTGACCTTTTTCATATGCATCTTTATATAATTCAAATGCTTTTGTTTCATTTCTTTCAGTTCCTATTCCATGCTGGTAACAATATCCAAGATAATTTATTGCATTAATATTACCTTTTTCAGCTACTTCTTTGTATAATTCAAATGCTTTTGTTTCATTTCTTTCAGTTCCTATTTCAAATTTATAAAAATTTGCTAAAAGAATTAAATTTTTTTGTTTATTCTTATTACTTAATAAATAATTAAATATTTCATTTTCATTTTTATTTTTTGATGTTATATTTTGTTTAATTAATTGAATATAATCATTTTTACAAATTCCTTTTTGAGTGGCTTCCTCATATAGTAAAAATAACTCATTAATTATGGTTTCATTTTCATTATTTAAATGAATATTATTATTTGTCATTAAATTTTCTTCATTTTGCATATTATCATATTCCTCTATTAATTCATCATATTTGGTTTGTAATGAATAATTAATACCAAATTTTAACGAACTATCATTAATACTATTATCATTATTATTCGTTACCTCATTTTCAATAACATTTACAGTTTTCTTGTAAATTTCTTTTTCATTTGTTTTTGAATTAATTGATTTTAGATCCGAAACTACTTGTTGTATATCTGGTCTATCATCTGGATTATTTTGCCAACATTCTAGAAAAGTATTTATGAAAATTAAAAATAAAAGTTAGTAATAATATCAAATAAATTAAAACAAATGATATTATTAATATAATATAGTAAAGTAATTTACTTGTATAAATATTAATATAATCAACTGGTGTACTAGAAATTGGAATTTCTCTTTTTCCATCTGTAATTTCTGACATTAATGCTAGCCTTTGATAATGCTCACTATAAGATTTAAATGGTATTTGACCAGATGATATTTCCCATAGAAGCACACCAACACTATATACATCTGATTTCTTATTTGCTTTATATTTTTTTTTATCGTTCATTTGTTTCTTGAGAAGTTGTGGATCGATATAAGGAATCATTCCTAAAATGTCATTATTTGATGATACTTCTACTATTCTACGTGAAAGTCCAAAATCTGCTAATTTGATAATATTTTGCTCATGAACTAACACATTTTTAGAATGCTATTTTTTAGGAATAAATATAATTATTATTTTAGTACACATTATGTTAGATGTAAATTAGAATAAGAAAATACTACTTACAAGGTCACGATGAATAATACCTTCTTGATGTATAAATGAGACTGCATTAGCAATTTGAATAGCAAACTGCAATTTAATATCCAAATCTAAATTGTCAAAATTATTTCTTAAATAATTTCTCAATGTACCACCATCCGCATATTCAAGAATAAGTAAATAGTCTGGATCTATATTTTCGTTACCTAATAAATAATTAAATTATTAAATTTATGGTTCTTAAAAATCAAGCTTTAAATATAAGTTACTACTCACTCTCTCTTTTAGTAATCCCAAAAAATTGAATAATATTTTTGTGAGAATTAACTTTACATAATAATTTTACCTAAAAAGAAAGCTAAGTATATATTTGATTAAAAATATTAATAATTTTAAAATAATTTTATATACCTCATTAACAATTTCTTTCATAACACATTTATCATTATTGAATTTAAAGGATTTAAGCGCAATAAATGTACTATCTTGATTTTTCCAAGTAGCTCGATAAACACTACCAAATGCTCCAGAATCTATATATTGAATATTTTGAAATTCAGTGTAATCATGATGATTAATATAATCTTTAGTAATGCCATCCTCAATCCATTGAGCCAAATTGTTAGTATCGGCAATTTTACTATTGAAGCTTTTTGCCATTTTCTAAATTATTGTATGAAACAAACCCTTAATGAATAAGTGAAAAAATAAACAAATGTGCATGGAACCATTTCACACGGAGTTATAAATATCCTGTAGATCTTACGTATCACGTATCACATATAAGAATTACAAGATGATCAGAATCACAATGATATCACATCAGGACCCGGTCGGCATTATCCACAAATGGAAGTGATCTTCATGATTTAAAACCAGGACCTGACCTTTCTATGTATAGCTCGGGTCCTATCACATCTTCATGTGAATATATTTTATTTGATATTTTGTGTAACAAATTTTAAATTTTTTACCTTAATATTAAAAAAAATCGAGTTGGAATTAAGGGAAAGAAACTGAAAAAATTCAACGTCCAGTCGCATCATTCCGAAGAAAAACCAAACTTTTTTCGTTAGCATTATAATTTCATAAAATTCAGTCGCAGGCGCAGACGTATCACGCGTTTCCTGTTCAAATTCAGTTAATTCTAAACGTGACCATTTAAAAATGAAAAAAAATCCTCATTAATTGTAAAACTGTTTTTCTCGATACATTACCATCCTGTTATTTTGCATGAGAAACTAGGGTGGTACACAGACTAATTAACCAAAACTATGTCAGCAACATTGTTTTTCAGGATTTTTACTATAATATTATCTATATAATCTATATCTATTATCTATTATCTATTATCTATTTTATATCTATAAAATAATTCATGTCGATCTGTAGACGTTTAGATTACCTGTATAAATTAATTTTGAATAGGAGCGGCATGTGATGCCTGCACCTGATCTATCCAGTTACATGATCGGCACATTCTAATACTAATAAGTATAGTAGATAATTAATGTCAATTTTTTTTAGTAATAAATAATTCACGGGGAAAAAATTATTTTCGCCAACAATAGGAATTTTTTTTTTTTTTTTTTGTAATTTATATAATATTCCAGTCATGTTCTTTTTCAATTTTTTTTTTCGTTTTTATTTTTCGATTTTTATTTTTTTTCCGTTTTTTTCCGGTTTGCTTTTTCTCCAATCCGAAATTTTTTTCCCCTTTTCCTTTTCGGGTTGGCTTTTTTTTCAAACCAAATTTTTTTTCCCCAAATACATTCTTTCACCATTTAGGTTTGGGTCGATGCTGCGGCACAACGGAGATTACCTTTTTTTATAATTAAGTTTTAATAGAAGAGTAATGATTTACAACAAAAACTTTTTTAACAATTCCCGATTCTTATTATTAATAATAAAATATTTTTAGACTGTCGATCATTATAATTAATATTTCTGGGATTTTTTTTTCTTTTTTCATAACAATAGAAGTTTATATTAATTAGTGAGATAATTTTTTTTCTATAACAATATATTGCTATAATGAATTTCTTTGAGATATAATAACAATATATATGTATTTTTTTCAGCAGAAGATGTAATTTTTTTTAAGATAAAAAAAAAAAAAAATTTTTTTTGTAACAATATAACAATAGACTACTATACAAAATTATCTTTGTAAATGTATAAATAAATCATAAATTTCACAGTACTGCAAATACATATTATTGGATGGGGGAGTAGCTATATCGGTCACAGGACCGAATGATTGGATGAAAATGGGCCACGTAGTGGCCATTTTCGCCAATCAATGAAGGGCCCTGTGACCGATATAGCCCCACATCCAATAAAAGTGTTATCGTTCTGACGTTTTTGATCATGCATTAATTAATAACATCATAAATAAGCTTTCTATAAATTTCATTTTTATAAGCTTTATTTAAACTTTTCCTACAGAATATTCATTTACGCCATTTACGCCATTTTTTTACTCCACTTTATTATATCAATATTGTGTTATTGCTATTGCTAATAAAAATATCGGTCTATGAAAATCTGCATGATCCTATTTGGCTGAACGATAACATTTGTTTCGTGTTAAAAAAATTTGCATTTAATAATAATATTTCATACACTGTATAACACTTGCATACAATCCATTGTTATTTGTATAATCATATAAATTGTTTAATTTACATATATTTCCTAATACCTCATAATATTAGTAAAAAACTAGACCTATTCACACTGCATGGAAATAAAATATAAGTGTGTTTATTATTACTCTCAGCGCGACGGGTTGCGGCTAGTTTTATTATGAAATAAACTCGGAACTTTGAAAATTCTTCTAAATATTGTGTTCTTTTTTCAACTTTCTTTTTGTTGGAAACTTTTCTTAAGAATTAGCTCAAAATGGTTACGTTTCTATTGGTACAAAAATTTTAAAAATAATTTGATAAATTTATTTAAAAGTAAATTTGCAATAATAAAGTACTAAATATCTAAAGTTTTATAGGATAAAGAAAAAAATATTTGAATATTTAAACGTAATTTTGTTTTCAACCTGTTTATAAACTTGCCATAAAAATTTGGAGGTAAATTCACGTTTACATTATGTGGTGAACCATTTTTAAGTGTTTTTAATTATAAAGTAATGTTATTATTTATAATAGACAAAATTCTAAAGATTTCCAAAAAAAAAGTTCAATCACGTAAAACAAACCAAGTTTCACTAACAACAACAAGAAAGGTCTCTTTAATAAATAGAATCTCTAAATATGGCAACTACCTTCAGCAATCAAAGTTAAGATTATCAAGCGTCCCGCTTACTGAAATTGGTTGCAATGCTTCAGATTTGATGGAACTTAGGGCTAAATATCCGAAAGTTTAACCCGGGAAATCTCATCGATGATAGGCGGGAAAAAATGCAAATATATTATTTGAAAACTAATTCGGTAAATAATAATTTAAAAATTTAAATTTATGTAACATGAAAAATCTGACCATAGTAAAAAATCAATGTTACTGACATTGAGAAACTAAAATAAAAAAACACAGTTCATAACTCAAATAAAAAAAAATGTTTTAAAAAAAACTACTTCCAAATCATTTTACCATTCTAAGTTACTTTAAATTATAAAATTTAAAAACCTCGAGTAAAAAATAAAATCGACTCCTATTTTTTTTTATCAACTCTACTCATCTATTGATGTTGTTGATCACATGATTTTACCGATTAAAAAAGAATTTCGATAATTTATACGCATTAGCTAATATTAACTAAATACAGTAAATGTATTGTTATGATAATAGCTACTATTCATTTAACATCCGGATAAAGAAAAAAATAATAAATGTATGATAATAAAAAATATATATAAAAAATCATATTTATAAATATAACGAAATGAGGACGAAATGCAAGTCATTTAGTCATTCGGATTAATCAGATATATATATGAGTCATTGTCATTGAACATGCGCCAATTTTTTTTATTTGCATTGATTTGGAAACTAATTTAAATAAATTCGGAAATTCATTTTAACTAATTTAGAAATTCGTTTATATTTTTTTTTAAAAAAAATAATTTTTATTATTTTTTATTGACATTCAAGAAATATGTCAAAATGGTTCTGTCTGAAAAAAAAATCAAAAAAACGGGCGAAAGCCAAAAGTACTGAAGAACGTCTGAAATTATGTGCTGATGAGATAAATACTTTTTCTTTTGAAGAAAAGCCAATAAACATAAAGGTTAAAGATTCTAATACTATATCTACCTCTAACCCCTCTTCATTCGCATCTGATTTAGAAAAATTAAATCTCACTGAAGAACGTTTGAAACGTTATGCTTATGAGGCGGATACTCTGTCTTCTGATACAACGGTAACTTCTAATACAGAAAATGAATTAAGGACTAAAGTTACATTTTTGCGAGAAAAGGCTATATCCAAAACGCTCAATAGCATCAAACTTTCAATGAAAGTTGATCTTTGCTTTGTTTTAGACTGCACTAATTCTATGGGGCCTTATATTGATGCTGCTAGAGATTGTATCTTACAGGTGATAAACTACATTAAACATACAAATCCAAGCATTGAACTTCGGGTCGGCTTTTGTGGTTATCGAGATCATATTGATAGACATGATCATCTAAAATCTTTAGATTTTACCGACCAATATGAGAAATTTACAACATATTTGCAAAGTGTATTACCTTACGGTGGTGGCGATACTCCAGAGGATGTTCTCGGAGGTCTTAATGAAGCAATAACCAAAATGAAATGGAAAAATGGTACTCGTGTTCTTCTTCATATTGGTGATTCTCCACCACATGGTAAAAAATTTACAGATATGATAGATGATTATCCAAAAGGTGATCCATATGGCTTAACCGCAGAAAATGTCCTAAAAAAGTTGCAATCAAAAAATATCCTTTACTTTTTTGGAAGAATTAATTATACTACCGAAACAAAGCTTCAGATATTCCGTGGTATAATTGGTGAATTTCCAGTATTTGATCTTATAGGAGGAGATCCAATTAAATTAATTGAAAAATTTATTAAAGCTACCTCAACATCTATTACTTATGCTGTTTCAATGACCAGTACTATTGGAAGCGACACCAAGTATATGTATTCTTTGCAACGAAAAAAACTTGATATGAATCCAAATGAGCCTGATTGGATTATTCTTCCGTTGCAAGAAGGAATAGTTATGTGGTATCCTAATCTTGATACTTTGAAAAAACTTAAAGACCCAAATTATTTCAATAAATCGAATCTCTTTTCTAGAAGTTTCTCCTTTAAGATTGCTTCACAACCATTTTCTGCAGGTGTTGAAAGATATGCTTACTTTGCTCTTGATATCGGAAGTTGTCCAGCAAAAAAAATGGTGATAAAAGAATTCCTTCATGTTGGGCGAAATAATTCTTTTGAAAAGTATATTGAGGCGATAGAAATCTCTACAATTGCATCTTTTCTCTCTACAGAATTTAATTTGATTGCAGAGCGAAAAGATCTTTCCAAAGTAAAATTTCTCAATGTAAAACTTTTACGTTGTGGAACCATTGACTTTAGTATTCGATATTATACTATTGAACCAAAACTTCATAATATGGAATATAAACGATTTAATGCAAATACTGGTGTAATTACAGAACTTCGGCCTATTCTTGAAGCTTTTGTCCATTTCACGTATGAATACACCAAAGGATACTTAGTGGTTTGTG